CCAATAATATCTTGTTTTGATCTTGTTAAAGGTTTTATCAAATCCTAGGTGACCGTGATAGATGTCGTCATGCAGCGCTACCATAATATTCTTTGTAAATAGATGTGGTATAACCAACTGCATACTGGCAGCACAGTCCTTTGTAGGCGGCATGACATGATGCAATAATCCTGCTTCATCAAGCATGTAATCGGATAAGATCTGTAGTTCTTTGTTAGTGGTGTTAGGTTGTGTTAGTGCCCGTATAATGTTATGCAGTTGGGGGTCTGCTCGTTGCTCCTTTTTGACTCCTGTTAGATTTAATACTGGATAATTACTTGAAGTCGGTTCTTCTTGTCGCTCTGTGTGCTCCTCCGGCACCGCTTGCATAACTACATTTGTAGTATCAGGCTGCTTGACCTGTGTGTCCTCGTTTGCACTTGTATTAGGTTCTGGCTCATCGGTGATTTGTTGGATTTCTACCTCTGGTGTGGGATTGCTTTTAGTTTTGATTTATGACAGTGCGTCTGCATTTCTGTGGGCTAGGCCACAGCGATACTCAACTGGCGCATTGTGTTCCGAAATGACTAATGCCCATTACTGAAGTCGAGCATTCTTAAGATTTGGGCTCGTTAGCAGATATTGTAGTGGTTTATGATCGCTATTGATGACAAACGTCGCCCCAGCCAGGTAGTGACGCAACTTCTGTAGAGCATAGACGATGGCGTATGCTCCTCTTTCTATGACTGGCCAACGCATTTGTCCTTCGTTTAACTGATGACTGGTGTATGATATAACGACCTCGTTTCATTCGTCGTTTATTTGTGTAAGAGCAGCTCCTACTGCGTATGACGAGGCGTCTGTGAATAGACGGTAGCTCTTGGTAAGGTCCGGATATGCTAAGATTGGGGCTTCAGTGAGTTTCTGCTTCAAGGTCTGAAACGCGTGTTCTGCGTCATTGTTCCATTCGAATTTGGCGTATTTATGTGTTAATGCTGTTAGTGGTTTTGCAATGTTTGCAAATGACTTGATGTGTGCCCGGTAATAGCTTGCCATGCCCAAGAATGATCGTACTTCTTTGTCCGTTGTAGGTGCTTTTGACCGTTGTAAGCTGTTTGACTACCTTGATTTTCTTTGGGTCAGGGGCTACTCCCTGGGGTGAGACAATGTGGTCTAGATAATTAACCTTGTCTTTGAGGAATTCACACTTCAAAGCTTTAAGCTTGAGACCTGCATTGCGTAATCTGTCAAAGACTTCTTTGATGTCTACTAGGTGTTGTTTGAAGGTTTGGCTGAAAATGATTATGTCGTCTATGTATGGTATGGGACACTTGTGATGTAATCCAGTTAATACGGTATCTAATAATCTTTGATAGACGCTGGGTGCGTTAGATAAGCCAAATGAAAGGACATTGTCTAGTATGTACCTCTGTATGTGATAAAACAAGTCTTGGCTTTGCCCTCCTCTGCCATTGCTATTTGGAAGTAGCCCGACTTTAGGTCAAGAGTTGAATAGAAGCGTGCGTTTCCTAACGATCCAAGAATATCTTGTATACAAGGTAATGGATATGTATCCTTCTTTGTGACCTTGTTAATTTTCCTGTAATCTATTACCATACGGCCCTTAGGTTCATCTTTCTTGGGAACGATGAAGGCTGGACTTGCCCACGGGCTATTGCTGGGTTCTATTATCTTGGCTTCTAATAGCTGATTCACATGGTGATCAATCATTGGTCGGTAATTAATCGGTGTTCGATATGGCTTTTGTCGTATAGGTGGGTGTCCTTCGGTGTCTATTATCATCTTGACAAGGTTGGTACGTCCAAGGGCAAGGTTGCTTTCAGCAAACAAGTCACTGTTTTGCATCAGTAGATCCACCACAGCTGCACGCTGGTGAGCTGGTATGTGATCTAGATTGACTTTTGGTAGGGTTGGCGTTGCTGACTTTCTCTATGTTTATTGCTTTCCCTGTGCTGTGCACCTGTATGTTGAGATGCCTTTTCTATCTTGACTGATGCTATCAGTTTCTCATTAATTGGCTGGACCAAAGCGATGACGCTGTTATTGTCAAAAGAATACATTGTGTCTGTCGTATTGACCATTGGAAACTTGATACAATGATCCTTGTTAACAATGTCTAATGTTTCTACAGGGAATATACCTGGCTGATCTCGCAGTGCAGGTAACACACTCTGTGCCTGTAATTACTACTGTTGTGTTTACAGGCACGCCTTTTCCTAACTTGCCTTCGCAGATGACGACTGTACGCGGCGGAATCTGTACTTTGTTCTTGAGTAGATATTGATCGAGATTTTGTATTTCTTTGTTTGGTAAAGGCTGCCTTTAATGTAACTACTGATCTTCCCACTGATAAAATGCCTTTTTGACAATCAATTTTCATTCCCACTGTCTTCATGAAATCATACCCTAATATGGCTGCTTTGCGTAGGTGTGACACTATTTGGAATCGAAACTACGTACGATAGCGCTCAATAACAAGTGGGATTATTACTTCTTCTATTGCTCTTAGTGGATGCCCAGTTACCGATGTAAGTGTCTGCTTGCTTGTTGTTGACAGCGCACTCGCATGTCGCAGGTGTTACGGTAATCGTTTCCAGAGCACCTCGCTTATGAGCGTGGTCTGCGCTCCGGAGTCTATTAGGCAATCTGTCAGTATCCCACCGATTCGTAGTGAGCAGACGGGTGCTGCTCTCTGTGTATCTTTGGTGTTATGTATTTCCCGACATTTTCTTTGTCTCATTGTTAGAGACTGTTGTGTGTCGTTCGCTCGGTTTTTTGTCTCACTTAAAATTGAGCGCTTGCGTTTCTCGCATTTCCTGCTCTAAACTATTGTTGTGTCGATCTGCATTGCCTCCAGCGGTGACCTATCTTACTGCATAGTGCACATATTGGCTTGTCATCCTTCGTCCATTGATAACGAACGCCAGGTGGCGGTGCATATCGAGGTTTTTCAAATGGCTGTAGTTGCCTTAGCTGCCAGTTACTTGCTGCTCCACGCTGCCATCCCGTGCTATTTCGGAAGCAGGGCGCATAGACTGCCTCCACGTCGTTTGCTGGTTATGCGTTTGCCATGTCGGCGATTGCGTAAATGACGCATATCTAGGCTGAAATTCCCTGCTCCGCATGCCTCCTTAATTCATTGTGCCTCCCGCTGGCTTTTGCGGTGATATTAGCTGCGTATTGACGTTATGTTGTAGAGGTGACTTTGATACGGTTGCCATTATCTCCGCTACAGCCCCGTGAATCTCTTGAATTTGCTTCTGCATGACGGGCGTGGATTATACATTGTCTATCTCCATTGCCATTTGCTATCTCCGTTGTGGCGCGATGTTTGCATCCTTACCTCTTGATCGATAGCTGATTCTCCGATAGCATGTTTCACTGCTCCTTCGAGGGTGGCGGGACGGCTGCGAATTAATGTTCTTTTAATCCCTTCTGATTTTAATCCATCAATAAACTGCTCAACTACTCGAGACTAAACGTATAAATCCTTATACGCCTGCGCCCCGAATGCTGCTTTCGCCTCTGCCTCCAGCCGTTTGGCAAATGTGGCTATGATTTCATGCCGTCTTTGCTTGTCGTACTTAAATTTTTGGAAAGAAATCGCCACGTGTGCGTGGTCTGCGTATTTCTCCCTTAGCAGTTGACCTAATTGTGACATCCCCATACCCGGTGTACGGATTAGGGCATCAGATGCGAATTTAGCTGCTTTTTCGCTCAGGAGTCTAAGTGCTAAACAAAGCTAATTCTGTCTCACTTTGCTCCCCTACAATCAAAACTAATCTCTGAAGATTTTGCCACCAATCGTCGAAGGTAATTAACCCTTTCTCTTTCCCCGAAAACGATTGAAAGGTGGTAAGAGTGCTTAAGGCTTTGACCTCCTTAATTAATAACTCCATTGGCGATACAGGAGCTTGCGATTCTGTCTGATGAGAGGCGGTAGACTCCATAGCAGCGGTAGAATTGGGTAATGGATCGTACGGTGGATTATTCGATATTAAAAGTTAACTATTCATCAATTACATTACGTTAAGCTGAGCTCGAATTAGTGAGTGTTGTACTTACATGAAACGGCGTCTATGCTACGATGTATAAACGCTAGCTGCTACGCTGCTGCGCTGCTGCTGCGCTGCTGCTGCGGCAAGGTCACAGTTTGCTAAGAATAGCTTCAGCATATTCGTGTGCATATACGCAGTGCTATAGTCTCTATGGTAAGTTCCTATGGCGATGTGCTGCTGCTGCTGTTAACGGTATTGCAGTCGACGTTGACGATGGCTAGGCTACCGTCGCGGCTGTTAATGTTGATGCTGCTGCAGTCGACGTTGACGATGGCAAGGCTGCCGTTGCGACTGTTAATGCTGATGCTGACGCCGACGCTCAGATGTCGATACACAGTTCTATATGATGCGGTGCTGCCGATGCTGTTCCTGTCGACGTTGACGGTACGCTGACGCTAATGCTAATGCTGTCGCTGTGCCACTGCTGTTGCTGCTGGCGACGTTGGCGCTTACGTTAACGATGATGATGTTTCTAGCACTCGAAGTTTGATAGTTCTGAATGCTGGCGATGATACGATGCTGACGTCACTGCTACTAAAACCACCTCTTCTTTCTTGTTCTCCTCTTCTTCTTTCTTGTTCTCCTCTTCTTCTTTCTTGTTCTCCTCTTCTTCTTTCTTGTTCTCCGTTTCTTGCTGCCGCTGACTTCCTTCCGCACGAATCCTGGTCACAGTGAAATGATGCTCGTGTCGAATCGTATAGTCAGGTAATGTTTTAAACCTTGCGTTGTGTATTGTTTTTAACCCATTGTTTCGTTTCGTGTTTGCGTTTCCGCTTGAAGGAGATGTCAGACTTGTTTCTGTGTCTCTTGTGCGACGTAAGGCGAGTAGCGAGTAACTTCACAGTAGAAATAACACGTATTTGTTGTAACAGAGTAGGTGACTTTATTCTACTCAGAGAATCACTAAATACAGACTAGGTAATGTTTTACAGCACATATAAGTTCCTCTACTTCTTCACTACGTGTGGCTACCACGTCTGACTACGTGACTGTCTCTAACTGACTCGCTGGCTACGACTGACTGACTAAGACTCCATGGCTAAGACTAACTGGCTACGTGTCGCAGCACGAACTGGGTTTTTTCCATTGCGCGTATATGTTCATGGTGGGGGGCGCGACGCGTATATGGTATGCTGTGGGGTGCGTATATTCTGACCATAGTACTGTGGCTATGGGCCAGAGAAACTGAGCCCAGCTGTGAATAGATTTTATATCGAACTTGATATCAAACCAGGGTCACATGGCCGAAGGGCTGGCTGGTGATTGGGCCACGCCCTTACTACGCAGTTAGAAAAACAAGGCGGTCACGATGTGGCTATTCTTAACCGCGCTCCGTTTTAGCACTGATATCATCGCGCTGAGAATATCCCAACAGCTTTTCGCGTAGCACTGCTACACTAGCTCTCTATCTGCCAGGTATTGTTAGCTAGCTCTCTATATATCAGGTATTGTTAGCTAGCTATTTATCTATCAGGTATTGCTAGCTAGCTCTCTATCTGTCAGGTATTGTTATATAGCTCTCTATCTGTCAGGTATTGTTAGCTACCTCTCTATCTGTCTGGTATTGTTGGCTAGCTCTCTATATGTCAGTTATCGTTAGGTAGCTCTCTATCTATCAGAAGGTACAGCTGGCTGTTCATCGCGCCTCTCGCTATAGAACGGTGACGTTGAGTCACATCGTAAATAATTATATATGATACATTTTAATTTATGACGACGATCTAACCCAGGGAAGGGAAGTGCCCGCACCCACGAGAGAGATCACCAGAAGACACGCATATATGCATGATATATCACAGATCTCGCATATTTGAACTACGTATATCTGTCATCGGCGTCACCGCTTTGAATAATCGAGTGTAATATACAGCACCGCTCTCTCAACTCCCGCTATCTCTCTCTCTCGCGCGCTCTCTCTCTCTCTCTCTCTCTCTCTCTCTCTC